TCAACACACATTTACCTTGTTTTTGTAAATAGAAGAAAATTTTTCGAGAAGAGAGTTTTCTCTTTTTTTCTTCTCCTCTTCCCCTTCCCTCACCCCTACTCTCACTCCCTCTCTCTCTCTTTTTTTTCCTTTTATTTAATCGCACACCGTATAAAATATCAAGTGTTAACTAAACACTTGTTTAAACTCAAACTTTTTTGTTTCATCTTCTGCTTTATAAAAAAAAAACGGTTTTTTATTTTTTTTTCAAATTAATTTTAATTTTGTGTAGCAAATGTTAATAATAATAATAATAATAATAATAATAATAATAATAATAATAATAATAATAATAATAAAGCCAACGGCCATAGCGTGCTGGTCACACCGGTTCCCGTACGATCACCGAAGTTAAGCAGCATCGGGCGTGGTGCAAACTTGGATGGGTGACCGTTTGAGAACGCCACGTGCTGTTGGCTTAAAAAGAGCAAAAAAAAAATGAGAACAAGACAAAGTAAGAACCAAAAAACAAAATCTTGTTCTACTGTCGACCTGAGGCAGCTCGACGAGAACGTGAATTTCACTGCTTCTGACCCTGGCCACTCCAAAGATGTTAGTCACTGGAGCCCAGTTCAGGAGACAAATCGTTCCCATCGAAAAAGACGGACTCAGGAAGACCTTCAAGAATTGATGTGGTGCTATCTTATAATAATAAGTGGCACCACCGAAATTCGAGTATTTGTCCCTAAGGAATCGGGTAGAAACCTCGGATAAATACTTAAAAAAAAAAAACTCCGACAAGTAGCCTTGTCGTGTTTAATGGTGGATAATAATAATAATAATAATAATAATAATAATAACTATGAAAGGAAAATATTCATAGCGTTTGAATACTCGGCGGAAAAGTTATTATTATTATTTTTTTTTGTTCTGTTTGTTTGTTTTATACGTCACGCATGCTGTCAGCATTGTCACAATGATTATAAGGCATTTTTTTTTCTATTTTTTCATTCGCCTCACCCCTTCCCCTTCCTCTTCTCCGCCCACGTCTCCTTCCACGCCATCCATATTTTCTCTATCTCACATGTAACACATTTTTTTCCCTCTTTATAACACCAACACTGTAATTTATTTTTTTTTTCCGAACCGTCGTTCGATCATGTAAAAAAAAAAATAAACAAATTCAAATATCATCATCATCATTATTATTATTATTATTATTATTATTACTGTTTTTTTTTTGTCGTTAAGAAAAAAAAAAAAAAAAGATAAAAAATGTATTTTTTATTTGAATTTGACTAATTACACGTCACTTAAATTTAAAAGTATAAATTATGTTTTGACTTTATTATAATTTTTCTTTTTTAAAAAAGACAAAAAAAAAATTTAGAAATAAAATGAATGAAGAAGGATGCGGGGGGTACGGAGGGGAGCAAAGGAGAGAGAAAGAGAGAAGAGAGGGTTTACGAGTGGAAAAAGGGTGAATTTAAGGGTGAAAAAAAAGAAAAAATTTAATTAACCACCTGAACGGGTTCCTTTTTTTTTCTTTTTTTTTTTATTATCGATACAAAAAATTTTTTTTAATAATTTTTGCAAGCGTAACTTTTTCCCCTTTTACTTTTGTTTATGTTTTCTTTCTTTCCTTTTTTTTTCTACTACCACGTCATTTTATTAAAGAAAGAAAAAGGCACCATCAATATTCATTTTACTAACTTTTTTCATTAAAAAAAAAAAAAAAAACTCTTTTTTTCTTTTTTTTTCTCTTTGTTTTAAAGTTTTTGTAAATATTAGTATTTTTATCATTATCATCATTATTATTATTATTTAAGTAAAAAAAAAAATTTTAAGCTCATTTCATAATAGTAATAATAAAAACTAAATTAAATACCATATTAACTTTTGAACGGGATTTAAATTTTAAAATTTTAAAAAAATATCAACTAAAAAATTTAAATTAATTCGTGTGTTAAAGTGCGGCGAAAGACCCTAAATTATAACAAAAAAGGAAAAAAGGAAAACTTTTTATTATAGTTTTATAATGATCGTGAACGTCGTAAAAAAATTTTTTTTTTTTAACGCCTTTTAAAATTTTTCCCCGTCGTTAAGTATATAAATGAAAATTTATAATAAAAAACATAAGAGAAAAAAAAATAATAATAATTTAAAAATAACAGCAACAAAAACAAAAACAACAGCAGCAGCAGCGGCAGCAGCAACAACAACAAAAAACAAACAAAGAAACAAAAAAAAAAACCGTTAATAAAAAGTCTAGTTGTAGATTTTATGTGTTTTTTTTTTTTTCCAGAAAATTTTAGAAACACAAAACACACAAACATAAACAAACAAACAAACAAACAAAAAGAAACAAATAAAAACGTCATATTAGATTTTTTTAAAAAAAAAAAAAAAATTTAAGTTACTCGTAAAAGAAACTGAAAATTTTATGCTTGTATAATTAAGATAAATTTATAATGGCTATTATTATCATTATCATTATTATCATTATCATCGTCGTCGTCGTCATAACCGCCATCATTGTAATCGTAATAACTAAAGAAATTTTTTTTTTTTTTTTGTTATAATGTTTTCAGCGATAAAAATAAGTTTTTACATAATAACCCGCCGTTTTAATTGAGGCAATAAAAAGAAAATGTGACCTTTGACACGAGCCAAAAGAGAGAAAGAGGGAGAGAGGAAAAGAGAGAGAAAAGGGAACGAAAGAACGAACAAACGAACCAAATCAGGGCCGTAATAATTTATTTAACATAATTTATTAATTCCAATTCCAGGATCGTACGATTACGTCATTTGTTTAGTCGGACACTCGGTTTAATTTTTTTCCTTTTTTTCTTTTTTTCTTTTTTTTTTTTGTTGATAACGTTTCGACCGTGATGATGACAATAACCGTCGTAATGATAATAACCGACGTCGTGATAAAAAAAAAAAAAAAAAAGGGGGGGCGGGAGTGGGGGGAAAGTTGACAAAAAAAAAAAGGAAAAAATTATTTAAATGTGAAAACTTCAAAAGCATCAAACGTTATAAATCAGATTTTTTTTTTTTTTATTCTTTTTGCATAAAGAGAGAGAGAAAATGGGGGGGGGGGGAAATAGCAGACAGAGAGAATGAATGAGAGAGAGAGAGAGAGACAGAAAAAAGAGTTTTAGTGTCTGGTGGCGAGTTAGCGTTAAATTTTGGCTCAAAATGAAACATAATGAAATGATTTGTATGTTTGTCTGAAATTTTTTTTTTGCGACCCGACATTTTGTTTTCGCGATGGGGGATGATGATAATAATAATAGTAATAGTAGTAATAATAATAATAATAATATTAATAATAATAATAATTCGCAGAAATCCACAGTCGGAAAAGTTATAAATATAAAAAAATAAAGTTAAACGATATTTTTTTAAGGGAGATTGAGGGGTGAGGGGGTGGTTTCGCGTAAAAATAAACATGCACACGCACTCACGCACCCGTGTTTGTTTATTGTAAATTTTTTTTAAAAAAAGGTTGTTCTTTAGAAAATAATATATATTAAATAATAAAAAAAAAAATTAATGTATTTATTTATTTAAGAAATCGATTTGAATAAAAAAAAAAATGTTTTGTAAATCGTACCGAATGTTTTTTTTTTTTTTTTTTTAATATATATACGTACATAGATTCTTAAAAGGTGGGGGGACGGGGGCGCGGATTGGGGAGGGATAGAAGTGGGATTGAATTTTTAAATTGATTCGATCACATTATTACGTTAACGATAAAATACACTCTAGGAAAAAAAAAAAAAATTTACGTTTACGTAATGTTTGTTTGTTTGTTTTTTTTTTTTTATTGCAAAAGTTAAGAAAAGGTTTGAAATTTGTAGGTGTTCCGAATTCAAATATAAAATGTAGTATATAACAAAAAAAAAAGAGAGAGAGAAAGAGAGGAAGGGAGGGAGGAGGGAAAGAAAGAGAGATGAGAAAGAAAAAAAAAAGTTTTTCCAGCCAAGTGTAATATTGCCAAGATTAAATTGAATTAATTTGGTCTTGTTTACCTTTTGTAAATTTTCATTTTATTTACATTACGAGTATTCAGTGCGTGAAAATGCGTGTACAAAAGAACAAGAAAAAAAATGAGAGAGAGAGAAAGAGAGAAAATGAAACAATATTTTATTAACAAAATAACTTTCTAATTTCCTCGGGTTTTTTTTTACCCAAGGTTAATAATAATAATAATAATAATAATAATAATAATAATAATAATAAAAGTGTGAAAAAAAATAAGAAAAAGAGAACAAGAAGAAGAACAAGAAGAAGATGGAGAAAATTTTTCTAGCTGGATTCATTTTAATAATTGCCTTTTAACCTTTTATTTAAATTAGTTTTTGTTTTATAACAAAAATTATTTCTTATTAAGTTGTACAAGTTTAAACGAGGTGCCAATGTTCGACAAAAAAAAAAAGAAAGAGAAAACGAAATGAAAAGAGAGAAAGAGAGAGAGTAAAAAAAAGTGAGGAAAATTGAATCTGTTTGTTAAAAACAATGTTTTTTTTTTTTTCGCGTTTACATAATTTTAAAAAAAAAATTGTTTTTCAAATTTGGTTTATTTTTTAGAAATTTAATTTCGAGTTTGATAAATATATAAAAATTATTTTTATTTACATCCGGTTGTTTTTTATCAGTATCCGGTTATTCGATATACATTATCATATTAAAAAAAATTAACGTAATATTATAAATATTAAAAAAAAAAAAACTTGTTTGTTTTATGTTTAAAAAAAAGAAAACGGAAGAAGAAGAAGAAGAGAAAAAAAATATTATTAAACCGGAAATGAAAAAATAATAATAATAATAGGGGAGAAAGGTGGGGTGAAGGAGGGGAAAAATTAGTTTTAAAAAATAAAAATATTCTCTTGACGTTCCGGAACCGGGAATTTTTTTTTTGTGTGCGAATTTTTTTAAAATAAATTCCAAAGTTTTTATTTTAATTTTTTTTTTTTTTAAGTTGGCTATCCCGTATCAGACGACGGAAAAAAATAATGACATGGAACGTCGTTGTTTTAATGTTTTGTTTATGTTTTCCCATATTAACGCAAAGTCTTGAATGTTATTCGTGCGTTAAAGTAAGTCCTCCGTGTTTATGTTCGAAATCCTGCGACAAAGTTCATCCCCCGTGTTCGTCACCGTTCGAAGAATCACACAAAGCGACTTGTCAAGACGATGAATCTTGCGTGGCCGTGACGCAGGTACACGTCGGTAAGGTATTGAACCTTTTCGGATGTTATAATTGCGAAGAAATGCTACGAGAAGTTCCCGGTGTCAAATGTGAAAAATGTACGGAAGATTTGTGTAACACAAAAGCTCCGACATCTTGCGATATGGTTTGACCGCGATAAAAAAAAAAAAAACATATTTTCTGGAAAGTCAAAACACCGTTTTTTGGCCTTTTCCTTTTTATCCATTTTAGGTTTATTTTTTTTATTTTTATTTTAATCCAATCAGTAATTGATTTTCTTTTTATGTTGTTTACTCTACAAAAAAAAAAATGGGGTTTTCGCTTTTATGGCGCAAGTTATGTTTTGGCAACGTGGAAGAAGAATTTTTTTTTAACGGGGGGAGGCAGGAAGAGGGGAGTGAGGGAAGGGAAAGAGAGAGGAATTTAGCAATCGCGATAATCAATCAAAAAACGTGTCGCAAATATTTTTGAAAATTTAAAAAAAAAAAAAATTAGACTAAGACCTCAGGTGAAATTGATTGATCAAAGGTTTCAATCAACCTTTTTTTCCTTTTTTTTTCCTTTTTTAAACGAATTATAATCTAATTTAATTTTTGTCGATGTCGTGAATCGAAATCGAATTTTTAAAATGAATTAGAGACTTGTGTGACGTCATTGTATGGAAATGGTGACGTTTTAATCGTGTTTTCCCCCCCCCTCTCACGTAAAACTGAAACTCACACGACGACACATGTTGTTGAAAACAACAGTATATCCAGAAGATACTCCAGAGTTTTATCCGGTTTTAAGTGAATATTTTTTCACATTTGTTTTTCGTTAATGTTTTCATTTCTCGTTTTTTTTTATTTTTCGGTTATTTCCACCATTTTTGTTATTTTTTTACCAAAAAAAAAAAAACAAAATGAGATTACATAACGATTTTAATTGGATTTATTATAAAAACATAAATACGACGGTACGAAAAAAACATGTCGGGGACAAAAAAATAATAATAATAATAATTTTTTAAAATATTATTACGATCGATCGATTGATCGATTTTATTATTATCGATTGATTCTTTTTCTACGTCAAATAAAACTAAGAATAAATTAATAAATTAAAAGGAAAAAAGAGAACGAAAAAATGTCGAAAACGTTTTTTTTTGTTTGGTTTTGTTGTTTTTTTTTTTTGCGAATAAATTAAAATCACAGAAAAATGAAAATTTAAAATTTAAAAAAGAGAAAATAATAATAATAATAATAATAATAATATTTATTACGTAAACAATAATATTATTAAATTTTTGATTTATTCAAAACCCATAAATTAATTAAGTAATATAAAATAAAATTAGGATAAGGAAATATTGAGATGTTAGGCATAAAAATAAATGAAGTTTTGCTATCGTTTAATTTTTTTTTGCGATTTGGATGGTAATGAATGAAAAAAAATAGTGATAAGGATAATGATAACATATTACGCACTTTGATTGGTTGGTTGATCTACTTAAAAAAGGAATAAAAAGGTGGCGGAGGTTAAGGATGAGAAGTAGAAAGAGAAGGAGAAAAAAATTTTTTCTAAAATGATGAGATCATGACGTTTAAATATAAGAAAAGAAAAAAATTAAGGTAAAAGAATGAAAATAGAGAGAGAGAGACTGAAAGAGTGGAGGGGTGAGAGAGATAGAGAGAATGAGATGATCGTAAAAAAGTGTGTGTTGCGTCTACTAAAGCTTTTTTTAAAAAAAAAAAATTGAATAAAAATAAAATGAGGAAAACTTGTACATATGATACTCAAGAGGAAAACTTCTCATCATAATATTTGGAAAATTTTTTTTGACGTGAGAGAGAGAGAGAGAAATTTTTTTTTTTTTTTTTTAAATCGACATTTTTTTTTTTTTTTTTACTCTTGGTTTTTTTCTCGTTCCACGTTTTACTCTTGTTTTATTTACCTTAAATTCTCATCTTATATTTTCATCTTTTCTTCTTTTTTCTCTTTTCTTCCTTTCTTTTTTTTTCTTTTACCTCGGAATGGAAAAAGAATGAAAAAGAAGAAAAAAGAAATTTCATTTATTCCTTTGTAAAAAAAAAAAAAAGGTGAGTAAAATATTTTTCACAAAGGTTTTTTTTTCCTTTTTTTTTCTTTCCTTTTTAACTGTCGTTCCCATCGAATTTTTTCGGTCACATTTTATTCCCTTTGTTATTTTTCAATTTTTCTCTTTCTCTCTCACTCTTTCTTTTACCAACTTTTTTTTTCTTTCTTTTGATTCTCCCTCCTCCTTCTTTTTTTTTTCATTTATTTTTATTTTCTTTTGCGTATGTAGAAAAAAAAAATAATAATATTGAAAATGTCTGTTTGATTTTAAACACGAATTGAAATTAAAATTTTATCAAGTCGATAGAATATTTTTACAATTTGTCTTTTTTCTCTGTCTTTCTCTCTCTGCCTCTCTCTCTCTCTCTCTCTCTCTCTCTTTCTCTTCCTATCTTTTCGTAAATGTTTTTTTATAAAGATGGAAATTTTTTTTCCAGTCTACTAAATATTTTTTTTTGTTTGATATTTTAAAAATTAAATGCAATAAGGTTGTTGCCTAATATCGAATCATCATAACGTCACCATTTTATATCACGCGTCACGTATTATTTTAAAGAAATAAAATAAAATAAAGAAGGAGAAGAAGGCAGCGACATTATTTTAAAAGGAAGAAAAGAAAAAATAAGTTTAGCGATGCATAAAAAAAAAAACAAACTTTAATTTATGTCGTATAAAATATATTTTTATACATTGTATGAATACTTAAACACCAACAACAACAACGCACATATATATACGAATCGATAAATCAATGATTACACAATATCAATATTTTTTTCTTTTTCAAATTTAATAATGTATATATAGAAAATTCTTTCTTCTTTTTCTTTTCTTTTTATTGGAAATTTTTTTTTTTTTCTTCTGCTAGAAGACTTGTTGTAATCAAAAAAAAATAATATTATTAAAAACTTATGATTTTATTAAATGAATCGATACAATTGTTTAAAAAAAAAGGAAGAGAAAAAAAAATACATCAACTCGCATGATGATTATTGTTTTTTTTTTAGGGGGGGAAGAAAGGGGGTAATTTTTTTTAAATAAGTTTTTTTCGTTGTTAGTTTATTTAAATAAGTTATAAATTCGCTCGCCAAAAAAACTAAAGGTAGGCAATTAGTCATTGTTACGCATAATAGACTAAGTTTTAAATTTGATAAAAAAATTTTTTTTTTATTATTAAAAAATAATTATATATAATATAAAATAACATGATTAATAAAAAATGATTCAAAAAATAATAATAATATTTAAAAAAAATATATATATATATAAAATAAAATAATTGAAATAAAAATTTAAATTTATTATACGACAATACCAAGAAAAAAGAAAATTTTGAATGATTGATTGATATTCACGTGACAAGGTCGGAAAGTATCAAAGTCGTGGGTCAGGAACACGTTTTACCGGCGTAAATGAGAATTTTAGTATGTGGAAAAATAATTTCGTGAAATATTTGTTCTCCGCTTGGATTTTTATAATCTTCGTAAGCCATTTGAAATATACAATCGAAACCCATTGACGAAGCTATTCTCGCGGTAAAATGACTCGTGCAATCTATTCTCATATATTTGTAACCTTTCGTCGCGGCTTCTTTCCTACTACGATTCACCAAAGCCGTTGCTATACCCTGATTACGATATTTCGGATCGACGACCAAATACCTTATTTCGAAAATGTCATCATCGTTATCGAAAAATTTTTCAGAATTCGGCGGCATCGACGATATAAAATTCCATAATTGCAATAATGTTCTTTCCCTTTTCGACTGTACTAATTTCAATGACGGATCGTCGAGTTTTAATTTTAATTTTGCCGGTCTTACAGCATTTATGGCGACTCCTTGTAATCAATTTAAAAAAAAAAAAAAAAAAAAAACAAAAAAAATTTTAATTTAAATTTAATTTTTATGAATGAAATTTATATATAAACTCTCGTGTCAATAGAAATAAAATTCAAAAAATTTTTTAAATTTAAATTTAAAAAAAACTTTTGATTATAACCAAGTCAAATCATCATGGGGATTTTATATATATACAAAATTTTTACGTCGAACCACGACGGGGGAATCCCCTGGAAAAAAAATAAATAAAATCAAAAGGAAAAATTTTTTAAAATAACTCATTTGATTTTGGTTTTAACCCACACGGGAAAATATATTTTCATATTTTATTAAATTTTACTTCTTTTTTAAACAAACATAAATAAATAAATAAATAAAATTGTTATTTTATTTATTTATGCGTACCTGAATTTTCTTTTCGTTTCGTTTTTCCCCCTCCCCTCTCCCCATTTTTATATTTTTTAAACGTAAAACGAATTTTTTGTTATTATCATGAAACCGACAAAAACACCAACCACTTCCTTTTTCTTTTCTCTCTCTTTTTTTATAATTTTATTATTACTATTATTATTAAATTACGTAATAATTTTTTAACCACGTGGCAAAGTAAATAAATAAAAAAAGAAGAAATTTTCAAGATTATTTTTATTTATAAATTATTTTTCGAACGTTATAATAATAATAATAATAAATAATAAGAAAACACGTTCGCAACGTGGAAATAATAACAAACGTTTTAATTAAAATAAAAAAAATTTTTTTTTTGTGTGTTTTAATCACGTGGCACAACACGTGCTAGAGCATGGAAATGGGGAGGGGAGGAAGAAGGAGGAAGGAAAAATGGAAGAAGAAGGAGGGAATGAAGGGGGCGGCGGCGTCGGCGGTACACGAAATTAAATTAAATCGAAACAACACAAGAAAGAATCGAATAAAATAATAATAATAATAATAATAATAATAATAATTTTCCGCTAATTAAAATTCTATGAAATAAACGAATTTAAATAATCGATCGATCGATGGATGAATGAATGAATCGATGAATTCATAATAATAATAATAATAATAAATTTTTACCTTACCGACAATTTTTTGATCGGTTATTTTTTCCTTAGCGACAAAGCTTAAATCTTGTTCTAACGATTCCACGCTTACGTTTTGCATGTACAAACTAATTTTTGGCACTTCGGAAACTTTTGTGTACATAGAACTCGGATCCGTTTTATAAAAAATATCTTTCATCATTCTAATTATTTCCTTTCTGTCCTTTTCAACCGCGTTCGTTATTACGGTACTCGCCGTGTGAACCTGTGTTGTCATCGTCATGATATGAAAAGAGAAAAAAAAATTTGGGATTTGTCCAAAAAACCGAACGTTTCGGTGTCATTACGACAACAAAACGTTCAATATCATCTAATGAGTGTCATGTCACACCTGTCGAAATAATTTACCGGGAAAACACGAAATCATAATTTTTAAAAAATTTTAATTCATAATTTTATTTTTCCTTAACGACAATGAAATAAATAAATAAATAAAGAAACGTCAATACATTTATTAATTTAATTTCATTTTTATGTAAATTGTAAAAAAAAAATAATAATAATAAAAAAATTGTAAACAATATTTAAAAAACTTAAAAAAAAATAATAAATAAAATGTAAACAAAAACAATTAGCAGAAAAAAAATTTCAAAAAAAAAAAAAAATGGTTTCCGCACCACGTGATTTCCGGTTTTTGTGAGTGCGTGTGTGCCCGTACATGGTATATGTATGTGTAATAAATAACGAATTAAAATTGATTTTAATATTTTCAACAGTTCATTTATTAACTTTAAAGTCAAATCCGCGACCGCGAATTTTAAGTTGTAAACTTTCGTATTGTCTTATACGTGATATTGTTGTCGATTCTCTTGGAAAGTTTTGACTTTATTAATAATAATAATAATAATAATAATTAAAGGATCGTCTTTTATTATTTATTATTCAATGACAAAGATGCAAAAATTTGTTTGAGGAAACAAACAAGCAAACAAACAAACCAACCGTAGAACTGAAATGTTTCGATGAAATTTTGTCAAAACGATAATATTTGAAACCCGTTTGAAATTCTTAAAAAATAGTTTTTCTCATTTGTTTACAATAGAGAATTAAGTTTTCTTAAATTTCTTTTTTTTGAAGAAAAATTCGCGAGGATGTGACGTAATATGAAGAGAAAAACAATTAATATGACGTTGAAAAGAAGATTTTTTTTTTTACGTTTGTTTAAAAATTGAAAAAAAATTAATAATAATAGTAATGATGATGATGATAATGATAATGTCTACGAGCCATCTGTTGATTTTTTTGTTTTTTTGTTTAATGTATTCGCCTGAGAGAGTATTCAAATACCTGTTTCATATAATTTTCCTTTGAAATTTTAATGAAAAAACCTTTTTTAGAGATCTAAAGAATTATTATGTATAATTTATATACTTACGAAACCGAAATACAGTTAGCCGAAAGCCCTTTGAGAATTTTATTTTCTTTAAAAGAAAACTTATTAAAATTTTATGTCGTGCGTAAAGGGTTTCCTAGAGGGTAGTTATAAGCAAATAACCCTTGTTCGGTATGCCTCAGGCTCGAGTCGTTGACCAAATTTTCAAATATATATATACATACTTACTTACAACAACAGCAACAGCAACAACAACAAAAAGAAATTTTTTTTTTTAACAAAAACCATGTGACGAAATAAAGAGAGAAAGAGGGAGAGAGAGAGGGGTTTGTTTCATCTTTTTTTTTTTTTAAAAAAACTTTGAAAATGAATTAGCAAAAGGTTGTTTGTCGGTCGGGTCAAAAAAAAAAAGTTTTTTTTTTTTTATACCAAAGGCAGAAAGTAAAAAAGTAAACGAAGGGATGTAAAAAAAAAAAAAGGGTGGCGTGTTGAGTCGTGTCAGCAAATTAACAATCCCGAAAGCTAATAATTTCCACGTTTTCTCCATCCTTTCCTACTATCCATCCATCCATACGTATTTTCTCTTCCTCCACGATTATTTTGCATTTTGATTATTTTTTACGCGCGTGTGTTTGTGTTTTTACCCCTTTTCTATCAACCCTTCTACCTTTTTTTTTTTTAATGGCACTAAACAATCGCCGGTGGGTGAATTTACCGTCGCGGCGTTTATCAACAGACAAACTTCGATTTAACCTTTGAGCGGTTAATGTCATTGACCCTAAAATAATAAATTTTTTTTTTGTATAAAATCAAATTTTGTGTTGACGGAAAGGTGACTTGTCGTGATGGTTTTTCTTTCATCCCCTTTTCTTCCCCTTCTTTTCCTTTTTCGAAAAAAAACCGGGATTAAACGACCGCGACATGAAAATACACAATAACCACAAAAAAAACTATTTAATCGAAAATTTTTTCGATCGATAAATAAAAAGATAAAAAAAAAAAAATGAAATTTTAAGTCACGCGATTTCCAGACAGCCAACCAATCAAATCTTTTTTTTTTTTTTTATAAAAGTCTCCAAAAGTTTTTTAAGTATTTTTTTTTTTATTAATAAAATTATTAACAATAAAATAAAGGAGTGATTTATACGACGTGACGTAAGAAGTCGATAAATTTTAATTCCACGACAAATTATTATTTTTTTTTAATGTTCTTCTTCATAACGTGGACAAGATTTTAAAACGGTACAATTTTCCACGAACGCGTTTTTTTTTTGTTATAAACAAATTAATCCAGTTTAAAATTATTAAATGCGACACAAGTTTTTTTTTTTTTTTTTTAAAAAACATGAAAAATACCGCAAAATCCGCAACTTTTAATTTTATTAAATTAATGCGTTAACGTTTTAAAAGGTTTTCTCGAAAACGGAAAAACGTAAAAACGGAAAAAGGTAAAAATTCAATGTCGCGATGCCATAAATAATAAATTATAATCACGATTTTATTTTAAAATTATGTTTTATACAAATGGAAAACAACCAAACGGTTTGTTTGATGACGTATTTTATTTACATAACATTTTTTGTAGGGGGATGGAGTGGAGGCGGGCGGAAGGTGGTTAAGTTCGAAAAGTCGTGTACGTGTTACGATGACGAGGAGCTAAACGACCTTCTTTTCAACTTTTCCCTTTAAAAAAAAATCATTTTTGATGCTTTTTTAATAACCCTTTTATTATTCACCGGCTTAATTTTTTCACGCCCCCTTCCCCCACCCCTCCCCCTCCCATTTCCTTTTCTCGACCCTCCGCCACTTGAGGTCATTTAAATGTAATTTTTTTTTTTCTTTTTTTTAAATACTTTTTTCCATTTGTCTTCTTTTATAATAAATATAATTAATCTTACTCCTTAGTTAATACTTGAAAATTATTATTATTATTATTAAGAAGAAGAAGAAGTGTGAAAGGGTAATGACAATATGACTCGAAAAAAAAATAATGATGATAATAATATTAATAATAATAATAAATAAATAAAGAAAAAGGAGATTTAAAAATCTGACGTTTTCTCATTAGTCCGTCTTTTTGTGACTTTTTTTTCAAAAGAAATTTAAATAAAATAATAATAATAATAATAATAATTGATGGGATAAAAAGCAAAAAGTATTATAGACCGCACGTAAAAATATAAACCGGAAGTTGGAAAATTCTAGAAAAAAACTTCACGTTTTTCTCGAAAGATGAGTTAATAATTTGCGCTCGAAAAAAAAAAAAAAATTTACTAATCACATAAAAATTGATAAAGTAAAACGGGATTTATTTTAAAAATAATAATAATAATAATAATTACCTATATAATGATGATGATTATTATTATTATTACAAACTTGTCCCACGGGTGTATTTAATCTAAATGAACCGGAAAAAAAAAGAAAACAAAAAAAAAAAATTAATATTAACCAAAGCGTGATTATTATTATTATTAATATTAATTTTAGTGAAAAGAAAATTTTTATTATCAGAACCGGAAATAGTTTTAGCTCGTCGATGATAACACACTAAACGCTATATTTATAGCAACACACTATAATTTTATAGTTTATTAAATATAATTACGATTTTCACTCTATAAATTTTTTCTTTTTTTAATTATACATTCGAGTTCATTTAAAATTTTCTACAGATTTTCCAGAATTTTTTTCTTCTTTTTTTTTTTTTTGAATAAAAAAATTTTTTTTTTTGTAAGAAGAAAATGTGTTGAAAAGAAAAAAAAAAAAATCGTGAATGAATTTTTTCTTTGTGAAATGAAAAAGTACAAGAGGAAAATGGAAAGAAAGAAAAAAGAAAAAAAAATTCACTGCGAAAAAAAAAAGCGATGAAAGAATTCCAAAATTGAAAATGACAAAAAAAAGTAATAATAATAATAATAATAATAGTAATACAAATAAAACATTAAAGGTATTAAAAATGTAAAAAGTAAGAGAGAAAGAAAGAGAGAAAGATAGGAAAAGAGGTCAAAGTTCAAAGCAATACAAAAACGTTGTCAGTTTTGTTGTTGTTGTTGAAAGGTTTCAATTTGTGTCGTCATCATCGTCGTCATCGTCGTCGTCATCGTCTGTCTTTGAAGTGTCAATAGAATTTTTTTTTTTCCCTTGTTAAACACATAACTAAAAGTTATCATTCAAATTTATTATCGAATTTTTTTTTTTTTTTATAGAGAGTATAAAATTATAAGATATGCTTTAACGCGTTTCATACAATTTTTTTTTTTTTATTTGCGTATATATACGTATAAAAACGGATGTGACGTCACGTTTTCTTTTTCAATTTGTTAGAAGATAAATTTAATTTTTTTTTTTCACCTTTTATTTCCTTTTTTTTTATTTTGCAACTGATTTCTGTGGATTTGAATTTTTCCTTTTTGTCAGTACGATCTTATCATTATCATCATTATCATCAATATCCGGGATACGCTCTCTCTCTCTCTCTTATAAACCGTTTTTTTTTAAACGATAAGAAAAAAATTTTTTGCTTTACTTTTCTCGCACTCGCATTACCATTTTCATTAAATTGTATTTAATCGAACGTTGAATTGTTTTTTTTTACGATTCGAAATCGATTTTCCAGGTTCGTTTTTTCAGGTATTTGGAAAAAAAAAAATTCCGATAAAACGGTTAACCGCAATGAACAATGGCTACGTACTATAACAATATTAATGAAAATAAATAATTGTGCTGTTGTGGTTGTAATTTTTTTTTTGTTAACGGTAACCAACAGCAGTTAAAAATAATTTATATTACAAACGCAAACGCAAACGCACGCACCCACGCACACACATATATATTTTATTCGGGTATAAAAAAAAAATTAATTATAATAATAATAATGGTAACAACAA